AAAACGTTTAAAACTTTAAAATTTTATATCTCTGTTAGTTCCAGGTATGTATTTTTATTCATATTAACAGAAACATGTTTGTAAGCTTTGTTTGTTTAAACAAAAAATTTATTGTAAAAAACGTGTTCTTGTTCACACTTGGGTAAAACGACATATTAAATACTCGGGTAAAATGATATAAATAATAATATGGTAGGTAAAATAATAATGTATGGTATTTTTCTTTTTTAGTATGGTGGGACACTACGAAAGGAAAAGTACACGCCAATCTTGGGATCCAGTACAAATGCAAAGAGCCATCCAGGCAGTCCAGTGTGGAGACATGGGCTGGTTAAAAGCATCGATAACTTTTAATGTGCCCCAGGCTACTTTAAGAAGACGAGCATCAGACAAGAATAAACGGGTATCAGGTACTAATAAAGGTCTTGGCCGGTACGAAACTACGTTCTCTGTAGAATTAGAAAGAGACCTCGTAACACACATAAAACTCCTAGAATCAAGTTTGTTTGGATTATCTTGTGATGACGTTCGTTCTTTAGCCTACCAGTTAGCAGATCGAAATGGAATAGTACACCGATTTAACACAACCACTAAGACGACTGGTTGGGATTGGTTACGAGGGTTTCGGTCTAGACACCCCGATATATCCCTTAGAAAACCCGAGTCCACGTCTGCAGCAAGAGCGCAATCATTCAACAGGCCGCAAATTGCCAATTTTTTTAAACTTTTAGAGGATACTATTACAAATAACAAAATTAATCCTACACGCATATAGAATGTGGATGAATCAGGCCTATCCACAGTTCAAAAACCCGGCAAAATATTTGCAACCAAGGGTCGGAAGCAAGTGGGCCTAATTACAAGTGCGGAAAGAGAGTAGCACATAACGATGGTTGCTTGCATTAACTCAGCGGGGAATTATGTTCCACCAACACTTATATTCCACAGGAAAAATTGTAAAAAAGAATTAATAGATGAAGCGCCTTTAGGAACTTTAGGAATATCACAGAAAACAGGATGGATGACAGGCGAAGTGTTCCCAACATGGATGAAACATTTTAAAGAATATTCTAATCCTTCTATAGAAAACAAGGTTATGCTGTTGCTTGATGGACATGCGAGCCATAAAAACATTGCCATGCGAGACATAAGAACATGGAATAGTGATATTGTGTTTTCCGCCGCACTGTACCCATCGTCTACAGCCGTTAGATGTATGTTTCTTTGAGACTGGAATTTGGCCCCTTAATCCCGACATATTCCCTGATTATTTATTTAATCCTTCCAAAATAACAGATATTCAAGAAGAAGTTGCAATTCAACCCCTAACAGAGTCAAAAGAAGAGAATGGTAATGTTTTGCGACATCAAGATTTTCCAGATCAAGGAAACAAACCGGTTTCTACACCTAGACCAAACACACTTGAAAGTTGTTCTTCAATTAATCCTGGTATTCGTCCACTTGATATTTCACCTCTTCCATCGTGTTCAGGTGTCCAGTCTCGCTTCAAAAAAAGAAAATCAGAAGGAACAAAAGTTCTAACGGCTACCCCAAATATGAAAGAACAAAAAGCCAAAGCACTCGAGAAGCGAGCTATAGAAAAACGTCAAGCTGCAAAGCGAGCAATTAAGAATCTGACTTTAATGACGAGGAAACAAAGACCATTGTGTCAGATGATGACGAAGACGAAAATAATCCTCCATGTTTATATTGTAACAGTTTGTACTCCCATTCAAGGTCCAAAGAATTCTGGATTAGGTGCCAAAAATGCTCAAAATGGGCACACTGTGATTGTGCTGGTATCTCAAAATCGTGCAAAAAATTTATTTGTGAACTTTGCTAATTTAGTTTATATGACATTTTATCCATGTGAGTGTGTCGTTTTAGCCGAATATACTTGGATAAAATGACATAGCAACGTTTATTTTGTTTCCTTTTTTTAATTAAAAAATATTGTGTTGTTAGAGTTTTATGTTCCATGATCTGTTCTACTTCCAAACAATGTACAACATTTATGTTTTTTTAAATTTTTATTAAAAAAATAAAAAAGTTATTGGACGACAAAAAAGTAGTATGTCATTTTAGGCCAAGTTCCCCTATAACAATATTCATATGAGGATACGAAAAGCTCAACAAGCATTCAGCATGCTCAACCCTGTTTGGAGATCTGGTGAGTATACTAAAAGGACAAAGATCCGCATATTCCAGTCAAATGTCATGTCTGTTCTACTTTACGGATGTGAAACCTGGAAAATGACAAAAATTCTTATTTGAAATCAGGTATTTATTAATAAAGATCTACGACGAATTGTTCGTATTTTCTGGCCTAACATCATCAGAAACGAAGATCTATTACACCTGACCGAACAAAAAAGTTGGATTGGTCACACACTCAGAAATAATAATTCCACTATTGCAAAGATTGCCCTAGAGTGAAATCCCCAAGGAAGAAGAAAAAGAGGGTGCCCAGTACAAACTTGGAGAAAATCTATCATGGACGAAAAAAGAGGTCAGGAAAGTCCTGGAATGAGGTGAAGGCCTTAGCACACAATAGAACCCGATGTCGCGTTTTCACTGAGGCTCTATGATCCACTTCGAAGTTCAAGATCCTTTAACTTTTTCTTCCGGCTGGATATTCTAATTTTTTTAACATTTCTGAAACTGAGTTTTTACCATCATCATCATCATAATATTGGTGCTACAGCCCTTAGAGGTCCTCGATCTTTTCAAGCTTTCTACGCCATTCTGTTCTGTCCCTTGCTTGCATTTTCCAGTTGCCGACTCCGATTTTCTCCGCATCTTGTGTTACCCCATCCATCCACCTCAGCTTTTGTCTACCCCGTCTTCTCATTCCCACGGGTTGCGCTGTTAGAATCTTTTTTATCATGTTCGATTCAGGGGCCCGGGCTACATGTCCTGCCACTGCAGGCAGTTTCGCTTAACTATAGTGGTAATATCTTTACCACCAAACGTATGCTTGTAGATATTATGCAGTTCAAAGTTATATCTACGCCTCCATATTCCATTCTCACAGACCGCTCCGAATATCTTGCGTAGCACCTTTCTTTCAAAAATCGATAGAGCAGATTCATCTGTTTTAGTTAGCGTCCATGCCTCTGATCCATATGTGAGAACGGGGACTACCAGTGTTCTATACAGCCTTATACGAGTTTTTTGAGACAGACGTTTGTTAGCTAAGTACTTTGATAGACCATGATAACACCTGTTTGCAATTATTATTCGCCTTTTTATTTCCTCAGATGTGTTATTATTGGGGTTAACCGATGTCCATAGATATATGAATTCTTTGACTGCTTCGAAGTTTTGGTCATTGATGATTAAATAAGTCAACATTTCCAGCTTTTGTGTTTGTGTAAGTCGCCATGAATTTGGTTTTATTTTGATTTATATGTAATCCCATTCGTTCTGCTGTTGCTATTAGCTCGGTTAGGATTTCCGCAGTTCTCGCCCTGGTTCTTGTTATAATGTCCACGTCGTCTGCATATGCTAGAATTTGGACTGATCTATTAAATATTGTTCCCCTTCTATCTAAATTAGGGTCTTATCTAAATTAAAAAAACTGACACGCCAGTGCATCTCCCTGCCTTAAGCCTCTATGGGGTTGACGAGTCGTTTTGAATTTTTACTGCTGATAGCATCTTCGCCATTGTCACTTTTATCAAACATATGAGTTTTTTTGGAATTTCTAACTCATTCATAGCGTTGTAAAGACTTGGTCATAAGACACTGTCATATGCCGCTTTAAAGTCGACAAAATATTATACATATCTATGTTAAACTCTTGCGCTTTTTCGAGGATCTGTCGTAGTGTAAAGATTTGGTTAATGGTTGAACGTCCATGCCTGAATCCTGCCTGATATTCTCCTAGAAACATTTCGGTATAAGGCTTTAATCTCTCGTGTCGTGCAAAATCCAGTTGGTTTCCCTTTTTATGTAACGGGCAAATTAAGCCTAAGCTCCATTCTTCAGGCATTTGCTCGTCAGACCAAATTTTATAAACAATTTCTCGCATCATCTTGGTGAGCTGCTCTCCACCATGCTTAAATAACTCTGCTGGGATGCCATCGCTACCTGGGGACCTATGGTTCCTTAGTTTTTCTATAGATATTTTTACTTCATCTACTGAGGGGGGTTCCACGAGTTCCTCATTTCGGTATTCCAGCTCTATATTGTTAATAGGTTCCCCTTCCAGCAACTCTCGAAAGTGCTCTACCCATCGTAAAAGGATATCCTCTTTATTGGTAAGTAAGTTACCTTACCCTAAAAAGAAGAAAAACTGCTTATCTGGGTCATATATTTCGAAATTCCAAGTACCGGTTCTTAAAGCTTATTATGGAAGGGAAGATAGAAGGAAAACGAAGCATCGGAAGAAAGAAATACTCATGGCTTAAAAACATAAGGGATTGGACAAACCTCGATGCCCATACACTCTTTAGAGCCACACAAGATCGAGAGGAGTATGCCAGAATTGTCACCAACATCCACTAATTGGATAGGGCACCATAAGAAGAAGAAGTTACCTTCCTTATCATTACAACAGTTGATTCTTGGTTTGAATTCTTTTCTAATAATATTTATTTGATGATAGGAGTTTTTACCATTTATTCCAATACCAATGTAATGGTAATGGGATTCAATTATCTACAACAACCGATTTATAAATATACTTTACACATGTCAACTGGCCTATTTTATTTGTGGATTTATCCTCTCTCCCGTTATCCTCTCTCCTGATCCTGCAGGAAAAAGAAATTACGCTAAGTCGGCGTAAACGCTTGCGTCAATCCGAATCAGCTGTTTGGATACATAGCCTAATGCGATTTCGGCCAAATCAACCCTCTAAAGCAATTGAGAACTCTGGGCTTGAATATACATCTGCCCTTAAATGAGATTCTAGTATCTCGTCTGTATATAATTTGTGATGTATTTACAAATCGAGTATCTGGAAAAGAAAGTGAAGTGTCGGGGTGTTTATTGTGATGCGGTTAGCACTGAAAATTTTCACGACTTTTGTTGTTTTGAAAACATTTCTACCGCCGGTGTTTACGAAGTTAGCACGGGAAGGTATGTACATTGTTTTATTTTGTTTTGTTTCTATAAGAGCTTTAAACGGTTAATTGCTGTATTGGGAAAAAATATTCAGATATATATTACTAAACTGCACAAACGTTTCTGTACTGATTAACATTTTGATTCGACTTTGATAATAGTGAGTGATAAATGAGGCGCATAGTGCAAGAGTGGCCTAACTCGTAAAAACTGATTTTGAGAAAAAGACGATTTAAATTTTATTCAATTTTACCGCTCTCTGTTTCTCCAAGAATTATTAACCTTAGTTTTCAATTTCAACACCTTAAATTAAGTTAATTTCATTGTACATTAATATCACAAAAAAGTAAAATTTCCAAAATCTCTTTGGAAAAAAAATTGTAGGCCACTCTTGCACTAACATTATATAAATAAAAAAAATAAAGTGCGTTTTTGCATAAAATATTTTTTTACCAGACTTGTATACAAAAAGTGAACAAAAACCAAAACAATGCCCTTAAATAATGTTTTTTATAAACATTTATTCCATCATTTTTGTTCGGAATCTTCTATAGCGTAAAACACATTATCTTCTCCATCATCATTATTTATTGATCTAAATTTTTAACATTTAGATTGTTATAAATGTTATGTAAATAAGGTAACTACACTAACATACACTAACAAAATCTTGTAAATTGCTAAATTTAGCTGCTTCAATGTCTCTGTCTTTTGGGTATAAAAGTGGTTATAAAGTTTGGGTGTAAAGTTTTCCAATAAACGTAGATGTATTGCGCTTCGTAATATGTATATGTTTAAAAATAACCTCTGGATTGTGAGATTCTTTATAATACAATAATTGTAGTGGTTAAGTTAAAGAGTATCGCAAAAATTGCATTTTTAACCAGTTGACCGATTCACCATCGACAGTCTTTTTACGATTAGTAATGGTTTTCTTTAATGGAACACTACTCACAAAATCTGGTTCAATCTCCAAGTACATAAATATCATTAAAAGTTTTCTTGTTCTTCTCTATGATCCCAAAGTCACGGTCACAGGCTAAATATAAATGCCCCGATACCAAAAATTTATGGTCAATTTGCTGCACTTTTGATATCTTGTTTTGTACAAAAGCAATATCAGATACAGGCGCATGAAAAGTTACATTAAATTTTTTTCTGAAAACATTCCTAAAAACAAATTGTGACGCACAATAATTTTTTTCTTGTTTGTATAAGGAATACATAGTTGACAGATTTAAAGTGGGAACTAAATAACAAAGATTGGGATTTTTTTTCTAGAATAATGTGACTGATATTTTGGGAACCTCGAAATAAAAGGAAAAATATTGTCAAGTTGCTCCTGACTTGTATGAGGGTCCTTTTTTCCTCTTTTATCCTTAGAAGGTGTACCACCTTGCTCTTTATTACGCAAAGTACGTGTAAGTCGACCATCTGAAACTCTCAAGACTTTTTTAAAAAACTCCTTGCAAATTTAAATATCTAGCCCTGTTTCTCTTGTCAAATAATATTGTCTTGTGTATTTTCTGGACTCACTTTGAGCGGTATTGGTTAATTTGGGAGTAAGTTTGATTTGACCACATAAGTAGGATGTCTGTAAATCATAATTGGCGAGTTCATAAAAATCTTGAAAAATAGTTTCACGCTGTTGAGGAGTAATGAAGAGTTATTCAATTTGTCCGCTCTCTGTTTCTCCAAGAATTATGAACCTTAGTTTTCAATTTCAACACCTTAAATTAAGTTAGTAAATTTCATTGTACATTAATATCACAAAACAGTAAAATTTCCAAAATCTTTTTGGAAAAAAAATTGTAGGCCACTCTTGCACTAACATTATATAAATAAAAAAAATAAAGTGCGTTTTTGCATAAAATATATTTTTACCATACTTGTCTACAAAAAGTGAACAAAAGCCAAAACAATGCCCTTAAATAATTTTTTTTATAAACATTTATTCCATCATTTTTGTTCGGAATCTTCTATAGCGTAAAACACATTATCTTCTCCATCATCATTATTTTGTATACGTTGATCTAAATTTTTAACATTTAGATTGTTACAAATGTTATGTAAATAAGGTGGTACATAAACTAACAAATCTTGTAAATTGCTAAATTTAGCTGCTTCAATGTCTCTGTCTTTTGGGTATAAAAGTGGTTATAAAGTTTGGGTATAAAGTTTTCCAATAAACGTAGATGTATTGCGCTTCGCATTATGTATATGTTTAAAAATAACCTCTGGATTGTGAGATTCTTTATAATACAATAATTGTAGTGGTTAAGTTAAAGAGTATTAACCAGTTTCACCATCGACAGTCTTTTTACGATTAGTAATGGTTTTCTTTAATGGAACACTACTCACAAAATCTGGTTCAATCTCCAAGTACATAAATATCATTAAAAGTTTTCTTGTTCTTCTCTATGATCCCAAAGTCACGGTCACAGGCTAAATATAAATGCCCCGACACCAAAAATTTATGGTCAATTTGCTGCACTTTTGATATCTTGTTTTGTACAAAGCAATGTCAGATACAGGCGCATAAAAAGTTACATTAAATTTTTTTCTGAAAACATTCCTAAAAACAAATTGTGAGGCAAAATCATTTTTTTCTTGTTTGTATAAGGAATACATAGTTGACAGATTTAAAGTGGGAGCTAAATAACAAAGATTGGGATTTTTTCTAGAATAATGTGACTCATATTTTGGGAACCTCGAAATAAAATGAAAAATATTGTCAAGTTGCTCCTGACTTGTATGAGGGTCTTTTTTTCCGCTTTTATCCTTAGAAGGTGTGCCACCTTGATCTTTATTACGCAAAGCACGTGTAAGTCGACCATCTGAAACTCTCAAGACTTTTTTAAAACACTCCTTGCAAATTGAAATATCTACCCCTGTTTCTCTTGTCAAATAATATTGTCTTGTGTATTTTCTGGGCTCACTTTGAGCGGTATTGGTTAATTTGGAAGTAAGTTTGATTTGACCACATAAGTAGGATGTCTGTAAATCTTAATTTTACGAGTTCATAAAAATCTTGAAAAATAGTTTCACGCTGTTGAAGAGTAATGAGTTTATGGCATTCTTTAAAACAACGACAGTCGGATGCATCAAACTGTTTGGCAGCAACTACATTACCCTTAATGTTTGTATATTCACGTCAACGATTTCGATTTTTTTTTTCTTATATTACGTTGCCATTGACTTTTATCTGCAAATTTTCTGCAAGCACCACGTTTCATACTTCTTAGAATTTCTCCAGGATTCGCAATATTGTTAAGACTGAAAATTGCTTTGTAAATGATAATCAGTGACCAATACATTTTCATTTTCACCTAAAACAAAGTATATTAGTTTCTTGCAAACGATTATAATAATAATAAAATATTTGTACTTTTTTCACTTGTTGAATCTTCCATATCAAAAGGATTGTAACTGGAACCTGAATCTGCATACAGCTCATCAATACTAGAGACATCACTGTCATCAAAACTGTTATTGCTTTTGTCTGAAAGAGATAAGTTACAATAATTCAGTCGTCTATTAATATGTACTTTTTAACACCTTATTCCAATATATCTTCTTCTTCTTCAAGTGCCGTCTTCGTTCCGAAGTTTGGCTATCATCAAAGCTATGCGTATTTTTGATGCTGCAGATCTAAACAGTTGGTAATTGGTACAATTGTACCATTCTCTCAAGTTTTTCAACTATGAATGCCTTCTTCTTCCTATAGATCTCTTTCCCATTATCTTTCCCTGTATAATCAATTGCAGCAACTGGTATTTATCTCCCCTCATAACATGTCCCAAATATTGTAGTTTGCGCTTTTTAACAGTAAGTATCAGCTCTTTCTCTTTCCGCACTCTCCGCAAAACCTCCACAATTGTTACTTTCTCTGTCCAGGGTATTCTTAATATTCTACGATACATCCACAACTCAAATGCTTCTATCTTTTTGGTATCGATCTTTTTCAATGTCAATGTTTCCATCCCGTAGAGGAGAACTGACATAACGTAACATCTCAAAAGGCGAATTTTAAGTTTTAGACTTAGATCTCTTCCGCAGAACACCTTTTTCAATTTAGTAAATGTGGCTCTAGCTTTCTCTAATCTGGTTCTGATTTCTTCAGAGCAATCATTATTTTCGTTGATAACAGTTCCCAGGTAATTATATCTTCTTACACGTTCGATTCTTTGATCATGCACGGTTATGTCAGGGAAGTTTTGTGGTGATTTAGATATTAGCATTATTTTTGTTTTGCTTATGTTAAGTGATAATCCGTGTTCTTCACTGCATTCTACTATTTTGTTAATTAGTATTTGAAGATCTTCCCAAGTTTCTGCGATTAGTACCGTGTCATCGGCATGTCTCAAGTTGTTTATTCGGATGCCATTTATCTTAATACCTATATTTTGATCCGAAAGTGCTGTGTTTATAATGTCTTCGGAGTATAGATTGAATAAGGTCGGTTAGAGTATACAACCCTGTCTTACGCCTTTCTTGATCTCGATTTCCTCCGTTGTCTCTTGCTCTATTCGGATATTTGCTTTCTGGTTATAGTAAATCTTAGAGATAATTCTAATGTCCCTTTTATCCAAGTTTTTTTCTACTAGCAGTTTCATTAAGTGATCGTGACGAACTTTATCAAACGCTTTGTTGTAATCAATAAAGCATATATATATATTATATATATATATATATATATATATATATATATATATCTTGGTTTATATCTAGACATCTTTGGCATATGACGTTAAGTGCAAATAGTGCTTCTCTTGTTCCAAGCCCGTTCCGAAATCCGAATTGAGTATTACTAATATCTGCATCTAGTTTTCTGTTAATTCTTGAGTGGATTACTTTGATGAATACTTTTAATGTATGCCCCATTAAGCTTATAGTGCGGTAGTCATTGCACTGTTTTGCATTTGCCTTTTTTGGTAAGGTTACAAAAGTTGAAAGTAGCCATTCCTTTGGTATTTCTCCTCTTTTGTAGATGCAGTTAAAAAGGTCGAGTAGAA